AAGCAAATCAATTGTAATAGGCAATTGGAGAAGTTAAAGTTTCTCCTAAAAATTCAGATTTTTTTTTTTAAGTATTATGAATTATGTGATAGTTTATATGGGAGAATATTAGTTTTACATTCATCCTATCGTATATCATTTCCATGCCATGGTTACAATCCCCCCCATTCATCATCAACCAACCAAAGGGTATACCATGCAAGCTTTCCCCCTTGGTTGACAGCACACAGCCCCTCTCCCTCTCTGGGTCTGAAGTCCCCAGCTGCTTCATCCCTCCATGTCATTGTCTCTGCCTCTATTTCTGGCTTCACTGCTTCTCTGGGTAGGGTCCTGCTGTCCACTCTTCTACCTTGGTGGTCTCAGGGACCTCAGCTTTAGACTGCTAAGTTAATCACTCCCTTCCTTGCTACAGAATGTCTACCTTTACATTTCCAACCCTCACAATCAGTCCTGATAACAATTATTCACTATTGTATCAAAAGAATCCTATCTGCATTTCATTTCATCAGCCCCATCTAGACAGATTGGATACTATTTAGTGAAGATTCTACCTTCCTCCACGCCCTCTGGATCTAGATTTCCTCTTGAGAGCTTGTAAGCCAGTCACTTCTTGCCTTTGTAGCCTCCCCCCCCCCTTTTGGGTAGCCAATGTCCAAGTTGCACATCCCTGTCTAATCTGTGTATGGAGGGGTGGGAATGATCCTTGCTGTAAAGATTTTTTCCTTCATTTGAGCTACTGCATCCATAGGTGTAAGTCAAGTTCATCAAATTTTTTTAATCTTACTCTTTTTTTCCTTTTCTTTCTTTTTCTAGTTGAATTCTGATCATCCAGTCATTGATTCAAGGTCAAGTGGGTATTATCTGTAAGTCTGGATGTTCTTGTGCACACTCCCTCTCATCTTAACACTTCACTCTCCACTCTAGTCCTTTGTGGCTATGTCACTGACTCTGAGCCCGTGAATCCCCAGGTCTTGCCACACTACTGGCCAACCAGGTCTCCACTTGGGTTCACAGGACTCTGTTGAACATTGTAGGGCTTAGCTCTCAGCTTCATTGCTGTTTTTCTTCACTTCCCCTTATCGGTGACGAACATGGTCACCAATCAGAGTATGTATTCCCATTGAGTCTTAGTCTTGGAAGGGGGTTTGCTTTGAGGGGACCCGAACACTTG